TTTTATTATAGTAGATGTTGATACAAAGCAGAGGACGAGTGCAATTAATTATTTGAAAACAGGTGATTTTAATGGTTTTTTATAAACAAATCAATAAATATTTATTGGATTTTGACGTTCGACAGCTCGTTAGAAAGATATTTTTAACATCAAAAAAAGAATTATATCTTGATTACGTTACATGCAAAGACCCCCGCAGAATTCTTATGAGAAATGGCTTTCGGCTAATTTTTTGAAAACTTTGTAAGATGATAGTCCTTAACACGTCGAACAAAAGTCTCCATAGACCCAAAACTTCAAGGATTCTTAGTTTAAGAGTTACAGTCTGTCAAAGTCAAACTTTTTTACTCATACGCTATACAGCGTAAACACCGGAGTGATGCTTTTATCGGATATATATAGATATATATAAATAGGTATGTACTCATATATCGTTATAAATGTTGTCTACACATGTGTATATGTATATATATCTATATATATACACTGTCGGTCACGTACTTTTGCCCCCCCCCCCAAGAGCAAAATTTGTCAGACTTCAAAATTGTGTATCTCTGGTCAAAATTGACCTACAGAGTCGAGCGGGGTGTTATTTGAAAGTTCTTCCCAAGCGCTTTCAATCTGTCTAATTTAAAAATCAAATCCAAAGTTTTTCTATTTTTTTCAAGTGATAATTCAACGTTGAAAATTATAATTTTTTTGTCCATTTTTGATCGCTCGCCACATTCCGTACATCCATTTTTAACTTTTGCGTTACAGTATTTTAAATTTTCTAATAGTTTTATTCCCTCTCTATTCGTTTTTTTATCTTCAGAATTTCTCTTTTTACTCGTACTTATCTGCTCGTTTCCCACCCTTGCATTAAAGTCACTCGCTACAATGAATTTTTTCTCTTCAAGCAGACTTATCTCTATCACTTCCTTAAGTTTATTAATCATTTTTTTAATTTTCGTGTGGTTATAAATCGTTATTAAATCAATTTTTTCTTTGTCTATCCCGACATTACTTATTACTAATCCGCATTCCCACTCTTTGATTTCCACGTTTTTACCTAGCTCTTTCTTTATTCCCACCATGACACCCCCTCTTGCTCGTCCCCTCGTTTTCACTTTACTAGCTGATTTCGTGACCCACCTATACTTTTTGTTCAATTTTTCAAATCTGTTTATATCCTTGGTTTTTTCTAACCACGTTTCCTGCAATAGAACAATGTCGAAATTACTCAGGAAGTCCCTGCACTTTAGTATGTTTTTAGAACCCGCAATGTTCCACGATACGAACTTACAACTTACCCCTTGTTGCTCGTTGGTCCCTTCACTTGTTGCTGCTTCACTCCTTGTTGTTCCGTTCGTTGTCCCTTCCGGCTCGTTACCCTCTCCCTGTGTCACCAAGTTGCTAATTTCCTCCTCCGAAAACGTTGTCCCTGCTCCCGCTCCCTTCTCCGCCGTTTTACTGCTCCATCTTTCCTTGCCGTGGACTCGTATGCTGGCCCTCTCCTCCTCCTCTGCTCGGAAAAAACCTCCTCTGTTGTGCTCCTACCAGTTCGGTCTTTTCTTTCGTGCCATAAGCTCATCCTTCCGTTGCTTTTTATTGTTAAGTATCCCACTCCTACCTGTTTAATTTTTCTTCTTTCCACTTCTGCCACCGCTTCTATCCATTTATGAACTTGCAGCTCTCTGGGCGTCCTATCCTCTTCTACGTTTATTCCCATTCTTTCAAATTTCTCTGCCTGATCTACAAATTCTATTTTTTCTCTGAAGTTTTCAAAAGTTAAGAGCATTTCTCCTTTCAGTGGTCTCATCCTTTTTATGTTGAACTGCTTTCTTGTAATCCTCATTATTATTGCTTCTATTTCCTCCCTTAGTATTATTCCCGATGTCCTCACTCTTCTTATAAACGCGTTGTTTTATCTGCTCATTCACTCCTTCATTTCAAATTCGTACTCTCCTTTTTTCATCGCGTCCGGTTTTTCTCTCTTCAACTCCTGGGCAATTCTTGGCTATTTCAAACAGTTTAAAACTTCAAATCACCAATTTTTTTCAAAGTTGGAGACTTGTTATCTATATAGAGGTCAACATCTGTGCAGAGTTTTATATCAAAATATTGATAAGGGCCGACTTATCAACTGTTCAAAAAATATTGGACTTTTTTTATTAATTCGATTTCTCGAAGACTAATAAAGATATGGACATGATTCTTTTTTTAAAAGACGCGGAAAGAGTTTCATTTTTAAAATGTAAATAATAAAATACCAAATCATTTATTTATGCCATTATTATAAACAATTTTTTCAAAAAATCGACGATATCTCAAAAAACGATATTTTTTTTTCATTTTTGCACCATCGTGTTCCTTGTCATTTTTTACATAAGAAACCGTTGAGAAAATCGAGTGCCCGCTATTAGGATTAAGATAGCACTAAAATGAAACTAACCGCGCGCTAGCCGCTCGGCCGTCTGTTACTCGTGCGGTTCCAACGTTGCTTGCTGCAATTGCCTTCTTTAAAGAATAAATAATTTCATATTCTAACAGTTTATATGTATTTATTTAAATAATATATAAATTAATTAATTAAATAAGTAATTAAATTTAAATTAAATTTAATGACTTATCTACTTAATATAACGTAATATAAAGTAATATAAGTAAATTAATATAAGTAATATGAATGAACTGTTATTTTGTACAATCTGAAACAACATTGAATGAAACATTTGCTCTGTGCGTTTGATCGGGCGTGAGAATGACGTATATGCAAAAATATATGGTAGAAAATATAAACACCAATTTGTAATAGCTTCTAGAAGTCTTTAAAAGTCTTTGAATTTCTTACGAAAAAGAATTTATGCTAAATGTGAGGCTTACTTTTACTTTCTTTGCTCGACTACCTGAGTCACAGCGAAGGGATCAACAAGAGAGAGACTTCAAGATCAAGACTTTGACCTGAAACTGCGATTACTTGTGTTTCTCTAAGCTGAGTCAGTATGCAATCACCATCTGCCTGTGCCACGTAGCAGTTGCATCTGGAAGAAGCTACATTTTGAAAAACTGCGATTTTGAAGTTATTTGCGTGTTTTCGTGTTACGATTTAAATAGCTTAATTATGAGTTTTAATTATTCTGTATGTAAAAACATTTTTCAACTTCATTAAAATAGTCGTAAAGGTTGTTTTAACCCACCTCCAAACTATATTATGTAGAATTCCGCTCGTATCTGGAAAAAGGAGATGTTTTGTGTCCAACTTGTAAAAGAAAATGTTATAAAGTAATAGCTAATCGAAAATTGGAAGGTAATGTGCAAAGTTCAATTAAAGATGTCGGATTGCATCATGGAAATGACCATGAAGTGGAGTACATGGAAACAGAAATGGTATGTTCAGTAAAGTACAATTTTAATACTCCTCGTCTTCCGTGGTGCTCTCGTTCGTGTTCTTCTGTTGTCCGTCGTCTGCTTTTCCTTGTTGCCCGACGTCAGCTGCCGCCGTCGCTTCCCTATCTTCTTCCCCTCTGCTCTCGCTCACCTGCTCTCTGCTCTCGCTCACCTGTTCCCTCGAGGAGATGTCCTTCCTCCTATACCTGTTGTATTCGGTTACCATCTTGATTTTCTCCTTAAGTACTTCTCTCTGCTCTCTCAACTTTTCCTCGAATCGGCTTTCCAAATCCGCCAGTTTTTTGTCGACCAGCTCTATCGCTAGTCTTGCCACTTATTTTGCTCGTTCTGCTGCTTGCCCCTCTGCCTCCTTTTGCTCTTCCTTATCGACCTCCTCTGCTTAATCTTCCATATCTACCTCCTCTGCTTGACCCTCCTGCGCCTGCGCGTCGTTTCCACCGGCTCGTTTTGGTTTTCGTCGTCCTGGTTGTCCCTTGCGCTTTCTCCTTGGATTTCATCACCTCCTTCCGTGCCCTCTTCTGCCTGCTCTTCCTCTTCAATTATTCCGTCGAAGTTCTTCTCCTTAGCTTGTTCTGCTATCTTGTACTGGGTCTTTGTTTCATCGTTGTCGCCGGCCATTTCGCTTGGTCCCCTCGGTGAGCGCGGCGTTTTGTTGCTTTTAGCGAACCCGCCTTACTCCTCCTTGCTCACATCTTCTCTATTCATGAATGCTTTTATGTCACTTTTCACTCTTTTTCCGTTCTCATTTTCTGTTTTTTTTGGCCTGCCTCGGCCCCGCTTTATCAACCCTTGCTCATCATCACCCTGTGGCGTCTTATCTGTTGCTTCCATAATCTTACTTTCGTCGCTCTTCTTAGATTCACTCATCCTCTTCTTTCTTACACTCGACCTTCACTTCTTTTTCGTTTAATCGTTAGCTACCCTCTTTCCCTTCTTGCCACTTCACTTTTAAACTAATTTTGTTCAGTTTTGCCTCAGTTTTTGCTGTTCGAAACGTTAGCGCACGGCGCGTGCGTCTTTCCCGTTCGAGCTCTCGACCGGAAGCCTAAAAAATTTTTGAGTATACTTTAATTGATAATCATCCCCTTGCGATACATTAATTTTTCGTAGTGATGCAAAATATTTAAAATCAATAAAAAATAGTGACATTTACGAAACTTTAATACAACATAGCAATAACTTAGAATGTTGTACGAAAAAGCAGAAAAGTCATTTTTTATGTACCTAAACAGAGCTTTAAAATGAGTTGCGGGTGAACCTACTAAGATATATAATTTTCGAAATATTAAACTTTAAAAATTTTCGTTTATTTTTGTTGAGAATTTTAAACTTTTTATCGGCACTGTATCCCTGGTACGATTAAATTAATTTAACTAAAAGTGTGCTTCCTGGCAAATGCTTGCTGGCGCAAATCAAAGCATAACTGTCTGAGTAATTGCAAAAAATGAAGTTGAAGTCAGATGACTTTTTTAGAAAAATTAATTATCTGCGAAAATTACTAAATAACTGTATTTATAATATGGAGAAGTACTTTGACCTATAGATATTTTCGAAAATTAGATAGTGGCGTAATAGAACCTTACCAGCTAGTTTATGAAAAAAAAACTCACCAGAAATGCATTGGTAATGTGCTTCAAGATACTTAAGAGTGTTAGGACAAGGATCGTCGAATTGCGAAGTTGAAGCAATAATACTGCAGTTCTGCTGTTGATTGCATCTGGAAATAATGAAATATTCGCTTGATTAAGTAAAACAATTAGAAAAATATCATCACAAAGTTTTTATCTAATAGTTTAATCAATACTTCATACATTCAACATGTTTAAAAACTTTACTCTTTTTCTGAGTGTTTTTCATTATTTGTACGTCAGAGCATCAATTTTTAAAACATAATAATCGACAATTGATTAAATATCAAGGAAATACTCCTAAAATATTAACAATATAAATTCTAAAAGAGTTAAATATTCGAATACAATAATCAATTAACTTTAAAAGAAAAATACGAGGGCCATTTGAAAAGTCCTTGCAAAATCAAAGAGGTGGCGCTACTGGTACGTATCGAGGTTATTTTTAGTTAGTAGTATATCTTGGAAGGGTATACACCAAATTTTAGCCAGATTGGTTTATTACTTTGTCTTTAATATTTGTTCGAATCATAGAAATCAAGTAGTTTCAAAAATATAGACGAAAAAGAATTTCGTATGTTGATTAAACATTACTTTATTAAAAGCAAAACGCATCAGAAGATTAAACAGAAGCTTGATTAATATTATGGTGATTGTGTACATTCGATTAGAATGATTTATAAGTGGTTTGAAAATTTTAGGAGTAGCCATATGAGCACAAAAGATGCTGAAAGTTCTGGATGCCCTGTTGAGGTCACCACTCCAGAAATCATTAATAAAATCCATAATATAGTAGTGGTTGACCGAAGAGTGAAGGTGCGTGAGATTGCTAGTGCTGTAGATGTCTCGAGTGAATGGGTACATAATATTTTCCACCAACATTTGGACTTGAAAAATCTATCCACTGGTGGGTGCCACGATTGCTCACGATTGACAAAAATTAACCCTATACGTCAGGTTTTCGAGATATTCTAACCTAAAAGTGCGAACCACAACGTTTTTTGCTATTTTTGAGGTTATATGACAGCGTGAACAATTTTTTTTCAAACACGGGTAATACCATCACAAAGAAGCACTCTTGCCCTTTAAAATCCATTTTTCAGCTTCAAGATAGCTTTTTTTCGATCGAGATATCACTGATTGGGGTTAAGTACTTTCGCAGTTTTATAACAACATTAAAACAGCCTATATAGCATATATGAGACTATAACCCCAATTTATAAGTGATCGATATCGATAAAAAAATGTGTATATGGGTTTTCGGGAATGCCGATCACGAATTTGAAGTCAGATTCTGAAGATTCAAAATGGTGGTCTAATATGGTGGACCAAAAATTTTATAAGTGATTGAATTCATTCAAAAACATTTAAGTATGGACTTTTTTGGGTTGTTGACCACGAATATGAAGTCAGATTTGAATATTAAGGAAATTTGGGTTTAAGGATAAGGAATTACAGCCGAACAGGTCACAGAGCTCTTATACCTTCCTCTCCTTAACCCCCAAGACATCGAAACTACAACGCTTCAAATCAAAATTCCTTAACTCCTTAACCTTGTGACGTGCGAGTCTATAACTCCAAACTCTAAATCCCCAGTTTCCTTAATCCTCTAGCCCCGTAACCTGCGAATGTATATTCTTAGTCTTCTGGAACCCAAATGTCCTCTGAACCTTGTTACTTGCAATGTATATTTCCAGACTCCTGAATCCCAAATACATTAACCCTTTCAGTCACTTAATGAGTATATGAATTTGATAGTAGATTTCATATGCCACCCGTAAAATTTTCGAGTCGCTGTTCCAATATAGCAGACCAAATATTTGATATTTGATCTGATTTAAAGGGAATATTCTTTACATTTTTACTTATTTATATATTTGAGGATTCGTTAAAGTCAGATTTTATAAAATAGAAACTCAATGTGAAACACTTTCTTCTTTTTTTGTTCAATTTCGATTAAATCAAATAGTTTTGGCCTGGTTCATTAAACCCTCTATTTTAAATTTGCAAAATGTGACTTCATATTCGAATCAACGACCCCAAAAACCTAAGTGAACATTTTTCTAGTTGAATCCGGTCTCAAAAGATTTTTGGTCAGCTATATTGGATTCGCCATTTTGAATTGTCAACATCTGATTACGTATTCGTGATCAGCATTCCCGAAGACATATATATACATTTTTTCAATCAAATTTTATGACTTATAACTTGGGGTTATAGCCTCACATATGCTATATAGGATGTTTCAATGTTGTTATAAAACTACGAAAGTACTTAACCTCAACCAGTGATATCTCTATGAAAAAAACGCTATCTTGAATCTGAAAAATGGATTAGAAAGAACAAAAGTACTCCTTTGTGGTGGTATTGCCCAATTTTGAAAAAAAAATTATTCACGGTGTCACACACCCTCGAATATAGCAATAAACCATGTTTTTCGCACGTTTAGGTTAGAATATCTCAATAACCCGACGTATAAGGTTAATTTTGAGGTTAGATTCGGATTCAGCGCATCAAAATCCTTCGGACACACAAAGTCCCGTTTCGGGGTGAGAAAGGACAATGTTAAAAATAGGCGTTTTTCGGCTTCTTTTTGGAAACGAAGTTACACACCAAAACAGTGTTAGGATGTATCAAGGGTATCTAATTATACACTTTTAAAGTTTCAAATGTGCGGACAAACTGTACAGGCACCCCCTGCATAGGGGTAGACACCCCTATTTTGAAAAATAATAACACAGCCACACAAAAGAAAAGTCATTTGAGATAAAGATCTGACCATATTTACTATGTTTTTAGGGTTGGTGAATCCAAATCTGGAGTCCTTTGAACCCCATCAGGTCAGGATTTTTCATAATCTCAAAAAAAAGGCCAAAAAACCCTATATTTTCACTTAGACAAAAGAAGAAGCAGGCTAACCCACCTAACCCTGGGAACAACGAGTTTAGTCGGTTGTGTTTTCTTAAAATAATCAAATTCTACACCACAAGCGAACTAAACCACCTAATCACCTACCCCTTAACTCACCTAACCCCTAAAAACCATCCCTACCAAACCACAAGGAGACTTACCCACATAACCCTGGGAACAACGAATTCAGTCGCTTTTTTAATGAAATATTAGTATGTAAACTACAATCTAATGCACGTGTTTCCTTCTTCTAATCCACCTAAGCCCTATTAACGACTCGTACTAAACCATAAGTAGGCTAATTCTCATAACCATGAGAACAGAGAATTAATCGCTTATTCTTTATGAAATCATTTTTATATCATGTGCGGGCTATCTCTCTAATCTACATAAAATTAAAAACCTCAATTAATTTCAATAATATTACCGATTAAAGATTATTTCAAGGAGTACATTTTTTATCGGTAGGTGATTTTTCAAAAATATACACTAATCATACTTTTCAGGAGGGTTATTTAGCCACAGATTGTGTTTCCAAGATGCACCGCGAGGAGACGACCCTCTGCTACATACCGTTTTTTTTATTTATTTATTTTTAATTAATTTTTTTTTATATACGATGTTTAATTTACTGTAATCCTCAATGAGAAATATTTAGAAAATGTCATTATTTAAAACTTTTTTATTCTGTTTCTTCCAATTCGTTATCACTGTCGTTTATAAATTCATCATCACTTAAAGATTCAAATATAGGAGAATGATCTGGTCCTGTTGGTATTTTTTCTAAATACTTGGCATACCCAAAGTACCGTAATACGACCATTACGTGGGAACAGCAGCCTTTTTTCTACTTTTTCCTACTTTACAACCACAGGTATAACCAATAATTGAATCACACTTGTCCTTCGTTTTATCGACCAGGATGTAAACGAAGTAATTTGATGCAGCTGCATGCCTCGAATTAATGCGTATTTTTATAATGAATGAGTTGTCGGATTCAGTGTTGATATCAAAATTATTATATTGTATTTTAAGATTCTCTTTTGAGACTAAGAATTCAAAATCACCACTATCTTTGACGTGGTCTGCAAAGTAAAACGAAGCCATTTTTAGTTGATATGTGCCACATCCATATAATTGTAAATCTATTACATCCAATCGTGGAAATGTATCCTAAGAGGTTAATTCCAATCGTTGAAAGTACGATGAACGTGAATTCAAATTCAAAGTTGATACCAAGTGTGATAGCTTATTATCTTTGTCTAATAACTAGTATTCTTTGAGCTATTTTAATATCTAAATCAGTACTTTTAATCGCAGTAAAAGTTCATTTATATATTGCGCAGGAAACTATAAAATCGTCATATGCTGTCTCAACTGTTGTATTGCGTATTGTTTTTGCAAAATACTTGTTATTCCTATTTATTCTACCATTTACAACTCCAGTAATGTATCGATTCTTTGTACCCAGTCTTGAATCGTTAGCTTGTTGAGTAGTAAGTTGCTTTTGGTCAGTTAAAGCTGGTATCTTGACAAGGAAACTTTTTTTTTCAATTTCACTGACAGAGTTACGAAATCCCCTATCCAGGATCAAAACGTCCCCTGATTTAAAGTGTGATCAAATATTGTTTTAAAAGATCATTTACGATAGAAGCATGATTTGTGCGACTAGGATATGGCCCCCAAATACCAGCAATACGACCATTAGGGAACGTAGCCACCATTGGTTATATAAGATTATAATGCTTATGAACGGACCAAGTTTGTCTCTGAAACTCAAAATCAAAACTTTTTTCTATTTTCAAATATGTACCATCAAATATAACTGACCCCTTTTCTGAAGAACCTGTATGAAGAATTGTGGATACAGCAGTTTAATTGGTTAATATCTCATTCCTACTTCCTGCAAAACTTAAATATTTTTCACGAAATAATTGCAGTAATGTGTTTCGAATGTTATTGCAATTTTTACTAATAGTTTGTCTGCTATAATTATACTTTAACTGCAACTCATCAAAGATATAGCCTCTTCGAAGTCTTGACAAATACATTCCTAAAAATAAACTGTTATCATGGGTTTTTATATCTTTGATATATTCCAAGATTGTTTTAAACGCATCATGATTTACACCTATTTCAAAAAACAAGTCACGTGCTTCCATAGTTAAAAATGTTTTTG